AGGTGGCGAGGGAGCTGTGTTCTCTCTGCTCTGCTCCCACGCAGGCTGTCTACTGATGCTGGAAGCCGGAATTACGTCATATTCCGGCTCCCACGGCATCAGTAAAACGGCGCGCGAGGGAGCAGAGCAAGGGGGGGGGGGTCTCTATTAGCTGGCCAGCTGGCACCCCCTCCCAATGACAGGGGAATCACACAGGACACCTCAGCGAGCGTTTGGGGGTGGCAGTTTTTGCCGCCCCCTAAATAGTGCTGCCCAAGGCAAATGCCTAGTTTACCTTGGGCTAAATACACTCCTGCCCCCCCCCTCATGGCCCCCCTCCTGCTGGGCTGTAGGGGTTACAATCCATTCAGCCACTTGCCTTTCTCCAGCATGGTGACCTCTCCTCCTCCTGCTGACGTCAGCGCCAAATGCAAACCGCCCATAGGAAAGCATTACTCAATGCTTTCCTATGGACGTCAGCGTCTTCTCACTGTGATTTTCACAGTGAGAATCGTGGAAGCGCCTCTAGCGGCTGTCAGTGAGACAGCCACTAAAGGCTGGATTACCCCTCAGTGAAACATAGTAGTTTCTCTGAAGCTGCTATGTTTTCAGCTGCGGGGTTAAAACTAGAGGGACCTGGCACCCAGATGACTTCATTGAGCTGAAGTGGTCTGGGTGCCTATAGCGGTCCTTTAAAATGCCAACCAGTATAAATCAGTATTCTAAAATGAAGAGTGTGACTAGGATGTATGTACAATGTAAGACTGTGTACAATGTGTGTGATCTGATACCTTTTGTACATTTCAGTAATCTCCTCTTTCTACAAGCAAATAAAGTCTGTTTGCATAGGGAAATGAAACGGTTAGAACACTTCTGTTATACTGGAAATGGCTTTCAGAGGGAAGAAAATCAAATTTTTTAGTGAAATCTTTACTTCAGGCTTTTTGAACCAGTAAATTTGAGATTTTGTTATAGTTCCCAGATTGGACGAAACTACAACTTTCATGATGCTTTGCCAGTCTTAAGTATACTACAGGCACCCAAACCACTTCAACTAAATGCCCAACTGGTTTTAACCCTGCAAGTGAAAGCATTGCCATTCTGCAGGACCGTCAGTGTTTAAATTGCAGGGTTTTAATGCTTCTAGTGGCTGACTCTCTGATAGCCACTAAAGTAGCCTGCTCAGAAACAGCCAGTAAAACTTGAGTATTTCGAGACCATCTGATTGGCGCAGACCAGTGTTTTGCCACGCATGCACACTTACCTCCCAATGCTTCCCTGTGGTAAAGAGATCCCCTGGACTGTAAGGAAGGGGAGGCATGACTGCTGCCACACAGTAAGGGGCGTGGAATTATGGGATACAATTGTGGCAATATGGGGCAGTATAAGTATGTGTGCAAGGGGAGTGTACTCACCATTCCTAGAAAGAAAGGCTGGAACAGGTTTTCCCTTCTTTCCGTATAATAAAAAAAAAAAAAAAGAAACTTTATCAGAAGTTGTGTAAGGAGTGGATTGTCTTACCTGTTTGCTGATTACTTAAGATGGCTGCAGTGTCTAAGGATGCCCTGATTGGGATGCTGCAGGCTTACCTTTCTTCTCATGGAGCTGGCTCTCTGGCTGAGGTGATGGCCGGTTTACCCCAGGAGGTGAGAGGACCTGCAGGAGGCAGAGAGCCCATCGCTGGCGAGTGGTAGGAGGCCTAGGCGGTCTAGGCCTCCTACTCGTCTTTCCCCAAGCCCAGTGAGACGAGGTGGCAGTGAGGCGGCTGGTCCGGTCGGGAGAATCACCAGGATCGTTAATGGCGTGGTGAGCGGTGGATCCCGAGCTGCCAGGAGGCGGCTGCAAGGATGTCGGTGAGTCGGGCCCAAGATGGCGGAGAGCGGGAAGAGCGCTCGAGGAGTCCCCCTTCTTTTCCGGCCGCACCGGAAATGACGTGCTCCCGCCGGATGGCTGTACGGAGCGTGGTCGCGCCGGCAGTGACGTGCGACGCGCACGTGATGACGTCACGGGCGCTTACATCGCGGAACCAGGAAGTGAGGGAAATTCGACTCCTGGAGCCTCTGGAGAGCCGGGAAGGAGCTGCAACAAGGGAGGCACCGGAGAGGCACTGTGGCGGAGGGCCGGCCCCTGCCTGAGGAAGGAAGACGGAGAATGGTCACTACCAGCAGCCCAGCTGGTAGTGGACCCAGCAACTGCCAGACCGGCCGGATGCCAGCTGACCCACAGGAGTCGGAGTCAGGATCACATGACTCAGATGAGCAGGACCACCAGGAAGATTGTGGCCACTGCCCTGGAGAGCGGGCTAACGTGGCAGCTCCTGTCAGCGGTGAGTTGGCCTGCGCTAGCGCTTGGGGTAGCCTAGCTGGGGGGCAGGGCGCTGTAGGGGGTTCACATCATGATCAAGGGGACTTGCTGAGCCTGCTTAGGGAGGTCATAGATAGGTTGCCACCCACGGCGCATAGCGAGACCCATAGAGAGGTGGTAACTAGGTTGCCACCCACTGCGCACAGCGAGACACATAGGGGCCTGGGGGCGTAGGCCACAGCAACACCGTCCTGGGTGGGGTGTTCCGCCCTCCGCTACCCGGCTGTGAGTTGTCTCCTTTGGGCATGCATGTCCCAGTCGAGACATGTGATAAGATTTTAAAGGGTGAGTTTATAGATTTCCTCTCGCTGGTCCCTCCTGAGAAGGATTCCATGGATAGGCCACGTCGTGGCGATCCCCAGGACACGGAGAAGAGCAAGAAACTCCCACGGACGTTTGGGAATTGGTTGCAAGGTTTTGCCGTGTTCGCTAGTATCCTAACCAGGCGTTTTCCGGAGCAGGCGCCTTCCTTGTTCGGCTATCTAGACCTTATTTGGGGTGCATATAAGGTTTATGGCGGACAGAGCTGGTACCGGTATGACCAACAGTTCCGCCAAAAGATGGCGGCGTGTCCCGGGTTAGATTTCTGTACCCAGGATGGTAGCCTATGGCTGCTGATAATGACTCCCAGTCGTCCTTCCCCCTTTTCAGGAGCAGCCTGGGCTCCTGCTGGGGCACCGGCTGGTCCAAAAAAAGGAGTGTGCTGGCTCTTTAATGAGAGCCACTGCAGGTGGTACTCCTCCTGCCGGTTTAGGCATGAGTGCTCGCATTGTGGAGGGGCTCACCCCGCAATGCGTTGCTTTAAGAAGGCGAGGCAGTCTGTGCCTAAGGCGGGGGTGTGGGACGACGGGGCAAAGGGGGAAGACTCCAGTGAGCGTAGCAAGGATGTTGCCATGGCTCGAGCTTTACCCTAGACGCCACGACGTGGTGCTTCTGGGGCAAGGGTTTTCCATGGGTTTTTGGATCCCCTTTGTTTTTTCTCCGGAGCCACGTTTGGCTGACCATCTACAGTCAGTCAAGGGCAAGGAGGCCCTGTTGGGCGAAAAGTTGTCTAAGGAGACAGCGCTGAGTCGCATGGCTGGGCCATTCGATTTTCTCCCCTTTTCTAACTTGCGGGTCTCCCCTCTGGGACTAGTCCCAAAGAAAGAGGCTGGCTTTTTTCGGATGATTCATCACTTGTCCTACCCGCCTGGGAGTTCAGTGAATAATGACATTGACAGAGAGTTCAGCAGGGTCCGGTATGCCTCTTTTGATCGGGCTCTGTCGCTGGTTAGAAAAGCTGGAGTAGGCACTCATGACAAAATCTGATATTGAATCGGCCTTCCGGTTATTGCCGGTGCACCCGGAATGTTTTCACCTTCTGGGTTGTCAGTTTCAAGGGTCATATTTTTATGACATGTGCCTTCCCATGGATTGTGCCACTTTCTGTTCCTATTTCGAAATGTTTGCTTCGTTTTTGGAATGGGTAGTTGTTCAGTTCTCAGGTATTGCGTCAGTTACGCATTATCTCGATGATTTTTTGTTTGTGGGTCCTCAGGAGGAGGCTGAGTGTGCCCAGTTATTGTCGGCGTTCCGTGCAGTGGCGCACATGTTTGGAGTGCCGGTGGCGGAGCAGAAGACAGAAGGGCCGCTTACCAGATTGTCTTTTCTTGGTACAGAAATCGACTCGATTCGCATGATTTTTCGCCTGCCCGACGAAAAAGTATTGGTTCTGTTGAGGATGGTAGATCTGGTAAAAGGGGCTAGGAAGGTCCAGCTCAGAACGTTACAGGTGTTGCTTGGTCATCTAGTGTTCGTTTGTCGCGTACTACCTATGGGACGGGCTTTCTGTCGACGCCTGTCGTTGGCGACGGTTGGTATCAGGGAGCCACACCATTACATCAGAGTCACTGCCAAGCTGCGGGCGGACTTGCAGGTATGGAGTTCCTTCCTAGGCAAATATAATGGGCGGTCATGCTGGTTGCAAGAAGCGGTGTTGAATTCTGAGTTGAATCTCTTCACTGATGCGTCTGGCTCAGTGGGGTTTGGGGCCTTCTTTAGGGGCAAGTGGTGTGCAGAGGCGTGGCCTCCAGAATGTGGCTGGGTCAGTTATCATCGTAATCCATTCGGGGGGTAATGACCTAGGGAGGATAAGGACGGTGGATTTAATACCCGATGTACGGCGGGACTTGGCTAGGTGCATGGCATTATTTGCAGGGTGTTGTTTGGTGTGGTCAGAGATTGTCCCCCGTCCGTGCTGGCAAGCCTTGCCGCATGCAAAAGGGTTGGAGAGGGCTAGGCGGAAGTTTAATGTTGCGATTTCGAGGTTTGGTCGATGCCTGGGCGGTGTGTCAGTTCGACACACAGAGTTGGAAGGGGACAATCGGAGTTTAATGAGGGCAGATGGGGTTCATCTGAATCCTATTGGGCTGGATATATTTAATGTGGGTATCCAAGGAGGGATTGAAACGGAGCTGTCTGCGGGGGGCGCAATGCCGACAAATGTAGATCAGGGTCGGCAGCGCGGTGGCGGAGGTCCTGGCCAGCGCAAGTAATGCAAGACCAGGCTTTGGGGAGTCGCAGCTGCCAGGGCTGATGGCAGAAGGCAGACTGTACGGACTCTTGGAATTATCCGGTATATCTGTCTGTTGGGTAGTCACCCCAAAAGCCGACAGGTGGTGATATAAAGCTGGCTGAGTTGATATGTTGGAATAATAAAACTGTAGCCATTGCCCTTATCCAATACTCAGGTGTCTTGTCGTTATTGGGGGGGCAACGGGAATGTAAGTGGTCTGCAGTCAAGAGATCCCTTGGACTGTAAGGAAGGGGAGGCATGACTGCTGCCACACAGTAAGGGGTGTGTTATTATGGGATACAATTGTGGCAATATGGGGCAGTATAAGTATGTGTGCAAGGGGAGGGTACTCACCATTCCTAGAAAGAAAGGCTGGAACAGGTGAAAGGGTTAATGTTGTAATGGACTCTAATCCCCTCGGTTCTCGATCCCTCGGTCACCATAATCAACGTTGATGGAGAATCATTTGTAAGCAATAACACACGGACAACAGCTTTACAAGACTCTCAAATGAGTGTATTCCAGAGCTGGCTTTTATACATAGTTTGCTTACATTAGCCATGGTATATGCCATTCATTACAGTACAGACTATAAGATTTATTACTTCCTTATATTACGTTATTCTGACAATGGAAAGATAAGCTTTTGCATACGTCTGGAAAAGAATATCCTTAAAATCGGAATGGGCAAGACATCCTGAAATTTAGCATTGTCTTACATCCTATAGAAGAAATACCTTAGTCTGTCACAGTCAGCATATTTATGTAAGTATTCAATATCCCTTCAGTCAGCAATAATCATGTTATAAACCTTATAAAAGCATAAAATACATATAAACAAGTTAACTATTTAATATTCGGGGCGGAGCCTAGCACCGGACCGGAGCGGTCGCACATTGCCGGAGCTCCGAGCTACCGCACGGCAATCCAGCCACATCGGGGGCATCCCGCACTAATCTCGGCCACATAATCAGCCACAGCCCGCAGGGACCCTCGCTGAAACCGCCGATGCCGTTTCTCCTGACGCCCGGCTCGAAAAATAGACGCCGAGGCGGCAAGGCCTACCGGGCAGGGAGGCAACCTCAATCCAGCACGGGAGAACACTGGCCCTGGAGTGTCCCAGAATTTGAGGACTGGTACCCCAGCACACACAGCTCAGGTGAGATGGGGCGCAGAACACAGAAACTGCCCCAAAACGCCCCAAAACCGCAGCGCGACATAGGCCAAATGTTACAGGCCCCAAGCGCAGTAAAGGCACAGACCCCCCGTGAAACCTCCCCAGCACCATCAGAGGAGGAAGAATCACTAGACAGCCCACACCTCAATCCCCAACACCCCACACGCGTGGATGCCAGAAGCCAGCGCACCGGCCTCCAAACAAGACATACAGGCTATGCTGACAGGCCTGCAGCAGAACTTAAGACAAATGTGGGAAGCGGACTTGGCAGTGCTTAAACTAGACGTGCACGCCGTGTCCACGCGCACTCAAGCGGTAGAAGAGGAGGTAAAGGGACTAAGAGGGAACTACCAGGAATTGGGAGAGACGGTGCGACACCTTCAAGCTGCACAAGCAACAATGTCCAGGCAAGTTACTCTCCTAGATGATAGGGGGCGTCGAAAGAACATAAAAATCCGAGGGGTACCTGAATCGATACCGCTGGAAGAGTTGCCACATTTCATCAGACGCCTTGTGGCCACACTCCTGCCAACTAGACAATCTAAAACGTTCCAGTTCGACGGGGTTTACAGGATAGCCAAATCCCCACAAGCACCCAACTCAGCCCCAAGGGACATAATCTTGAGATGCCAATCAATGATGGACAAACTGGGGCTAATGGCGGCTATGCAAGGGAAAACACCTCTTGACTTTGAAGACAGCAAACTCTCCTTCTTTCAGGACTTGAGCAGGGCCACACTGATGTGGCGCAAAAGTATGCAACCTATCACCAAACAACTCCAAGCCGCAGGAATAGCCTATAGATGGGCAACACCAGGAACTCTCTGGGTCACTAAAGATGACAAGCACTACAGAGCTACCGACCACGCAGAGGGCCCGGCACTGATGACCGCATTGGGAATATCGAACCTCGCAGCGACCTCTATGACACAGCCGGCTCAACGACCAGGGACAACGAGCACAGATTCATCCGCAACTCCTGGAATAGGCAGAGGACCGAAAACCAAAACCTGAACGAACTGCCTCACCGACTGCCTCATAGGCCTTAGTTTCACTAGTTTAAATATTTTAAGTTGATAAATCGGTTCATTTAAGTTAAATGTAGTTCTCTCACATTCTGACGACTATAACAGTGCTAAAGCGGCCCACCAGAGCCGCGCACACTAGCTCCGATAACGATCCCCCCCCCCCTCCCTTGGGTTAATGGGAAACGACATCAAAGGCGACATAGTAATCCTGACTGGAATCAGGCTTATCGTGAGGTCTGATGCCCCAAGGGCACAACTTAATCCGGTCACACTACAGCGACCTATGTATATACATAGACATGATTTGTAGTTACCACTAGGGCCACAAAGACACCCTGAGCACCACACACATGGGCACCTACAAATAGCTATGACCAGGGAAAAGTAAAAGAGGAGCAGACATAGTCCTAGACAGGCACCATTAGAGGGACCCCATAACTACCGCAATCCGCATCCTTACCCAAACTCAAAAGGGTCAAGAGACTTACCCAACACCCATAACTATAGCCGCACGACCTAGAATAGGGACCAGCCACTGGACCTAGCAATAAATGCCTCTCCCCCCCCCACCTACGACTCCACAGACCTTAGGGTGTATTAGGCAGACAGAAGTCTTCCACCCCTACAGTTATTAGATTTTAAAACCTCACTGTAACAATGTGACCTATTGTAAATATAAAATGTGTGTGAATAGCACACAACAATGCCTTGTATTTGATATGTACTGATTCTAATCGATGTATCGAGGCTGTTGTGGCCAACTTCCTGAATATGTTATCTTTCCACATGAAAAATAAAGATTTAAAAAAAAAAAAAAAAACTATTTAATATTCTTACATTCCCCTCTTTGAGCAATAAAACAATTGCTCATCTTATCGATAAAATCTTACCAGGACAGAGAAACTTCCACATGGTATTTTCAGGGGTGCTAGTCACTCCCTGCGGGACTTTCATTAATTTCTTCACCTCGATTCCCATGTGGTAATTCCTAAGGCCCAGTTTAAAGATGGGTTGATACCCTCCAGTGGCAGAGAGGAGAATTTCTAATTGTTTCTGTTCTGCATTATGGATTAATTTCTGTACTCTCTTTCTCAATGTACAAGTAAGATGGCAGTTATACAAAATCATACACAATAAAATCAGGACTATAATAAAAAAATGATAGAAGAATGATTTCATTATCTGGGATCCAGTAGGGGACCAACCAGTAAAGCATTGTACCAATGATGGGCTAAATCATTCTGAATTTGTGAACTCACCTTAAGGAGTTCTCCTTTTAGGATATGTGTGGCTACCTGTGTGTGTTATCTTTGGGAAAAATATAGTCCCCTGTGTATGTGGGTGCCCACCAGGTTAAATTCTTGGCAAAAAGATCATAAACTGGTACTGGTAATGTGTTAAATTGACAAGCAAATTTAACATCCTTTGATGTTGTATGATATAATGTAAAATAGCATGAGCATGAAAAATGTGAAACATTACCAGTTAACCATCCATTGCATTTACTGGATTGGGGTTTTAGAAGTAACCATTCATTATCTGTGAGGTTACACATTCCTCTAATCTTCTCTAGTTTAGGAATCGTTAGTGTGTTTTCTAATGCCAATCCTTGTTGTTGTATCCATAAATACCTGATGGCACAAGTACTCCAGTTACGAGATCTGTGGTGAATTTCATAGTTGCAACAGTTAAATTATCTAAATAATTATACATTGATTTATCTAAATCCAATCCTATAACCTGTGATTTAACAACAATTGGAGCCCAATTTGCAGTAGCATGAAAACCAGTCCCTATATGCATGCTGGCTGTGTTTAACTTATTCTTGAGGGTCTCCATATCTATAACTATTTAGTATACTCATAGTGGTTCCAGCACCTCCTAACAGTGTGTCATACCATTCCCTTTTCTGCCTTTGTTTGCTGTGTTACATAATGTTACAACAGGAGTAGTGATTTTTAATGACACATGTACAGCTTGTAAGAAGGCAGTTGTATTAATAAATGTGGACGGAATAGGTGTGTGTGTGTGTGTCGTTGTTGACTTTTGGTTCTATGGTAGAGGATAAAGGACAGTAATAAGGTGTAAAAATATAAGGTAGTGTATAGTTCTCAATTGTAGTGTCGTTCATAATGACTAACATTTGTCCCCTTTTTCCAATTAATGATACCAGTTATATAATCATTATTAAAAGTAATAAGGCCTGTCTGTTTACATTGATATGCAACCTTAACTGTGCACATTTCTGCGTTATTCTGTGAACCTTTAAACAAACATAATGCATCGGTTTCATTAGCTGTAGACACATTTCATATGGGTAACTGGTACTTATAAGGGTTACTATTTGTCCAATTCATCCAAATGCGTTCATTGAATGAATGATTGCATATTGCATGCTGATAGAAAGGTGGTGGAGAAAGGTTCTTGAGGGGGCGTGTGTGACGAATGCTAGATGAGGGGCTAAGGCCTAATTGGGCTGGGGGTATTGAAGAATTGTTCATCATGTCAGAGTCTTTTTCCAGAACTTGCCATTGACTTGTACTCATAATGGCATTCAAGGAACAATATCAGAGGGAGTATAACAACTCCAGAAAGCATAGCACACAACATAATCTTGGTCTCAGGTACCTATGATCCTCTCAATCTACGATATGATGTAAAAGCCATGATGCTTCGCTGAGGAGAAATTCTTCTGTTTCCGAGCGAGGAGTGGTGTTGTCTTCCTTGGTTCCCCTCTTTGGACACAGCTTCACTCGGGATGCGTGAATCCAGATGTCATGGGAATCTGTGAGGACAGCGGTTATGGGTACAGTAATCACAGTAGCAGGTGGTCCAAAAGGGTATCCTCCTTTCTTGGTCCTGTTCAACTGACGGATATACACCTTGTCACCGGGCTGGTATGAATGAGTAGGTTCCTGTGAAGGTAAGGGAAAACTGCGAAGAAACATTGTCATACATACCATTCGGTTTTATCAACAATTCATCTTGTGGGGATATATTCTTATCTCAGCTAAAATAGCTGGTAGATATCTTGTCCAATTTTCCCATGTTCCTGGGTAAATTCTGGGCTTTTCCTTAATAGTCCTATTCATCCTTTCAACTACCCCTGTATTCTGTGGATGATAGGGTATATGAAACTGCCAGGTAACTTGCAAGAATTTAGCAAGTTCCTGGGCAACCCCACTGGCAAAAACCGGGCCATTATCAGAGCCAATCTGCAGAGGGCAGCAATACCGGGGAATAATTTCAGTAACAATAATCTTCACTAGCATCTTCCCTAGATGTCACAAAGGCATCATGCCATCTACTAAACTGATCAACTATGACCAGTAAGTATTGCTGTTTCTTACCAATTTTGGATACATGAATAAAATCAATCTGTAAGTGTGTAAAAAGAGCAGTGTTCACACGATCTTACAAAAGACTGTACATGCTGCCTGAGATTCCTAATATAAAATGAATTCATGAAGAATTGAATGGTGCTTGCTATGTGCCTGACTGATGAAAATAAATCAGCTTGCTTCAAGTATGCCTATTCTTCAAGTATGCCTATTCTCCCCTCTTTAGAGAACAGATCATTCTGATCTTTCTCTAAACCTTATTTAATCCAAAAACAGATTCTGGGTATTAAAAAAAGAATCTCATAACCACTGAAGCGCTGGGCTGTCATGTGTTGTGTGGTGAGATTTGTCAGCTGAGTGACCTGGTGACTGGCATGAAGTATTGTAGGATGCCCTAGTGTGATAGTAGTAGCAGTTTCAACAGCCATTGCACATGCTATCAATGCTCTGAGACACGCCGGCATACCCTGTACCGGAGCTTGAACTACTTTGGAAAAGAATGCTATGGGACGCATACCGCCTCCTTGCTCTTGTGCACAGACCGCGGCCATGGTTTTACAATTGTCCCAAGCATACAAATGAAATGGTTTACAATACACAGGTAGTCCTAAAGCCTGGGCTTGCACAATAACAACTGTAAGGGCAATATATGCAGCTAGCATGTCTGGTGACCAGCAGACATTTTCAGGGCTGTCAGAACGTACAGCCTCCCTTAGGATTGAGTTATAATGGGAGCATTCAGGGATCCATTGGCGGCAGTAATTAATCATGCCGAGGAAGGTGAGCAACTCCTTCTGAATAGTGGGTGTAGGAATCCTCTGAATGACCTCAATACATTTTGGACTCAATTGTCTGGTGCCTAAAGCCAGAACAAAACCTAAGTATTCAACCTTTGATTTACACAATTGCATTTTGTGTTTAACAACCTTGTGACCTACAGTTGCTGACAGTATCCACAGTGCTTGCCTCATAGCTAGGGCTACATAACAACAAATCATCAACATTTTGCAAAAAGGACGGAACCATGACCGGTGGTCCATGTTTTTTAGAGTATGTTGGAGTACCAACGAATAAACAGCTGGGGAATCCACATAGCCTTGGGTAAGCGTGTCCAGGTAAACTGGCAGCCTTCAAAAAATAAAAACCATAAGTAGCTGTGTCTCTTGATCAATAGGTATAGAAAAAATGCATTACTTAAATCAATGACAGTGAAGCAAGTGGCATCATGTGGAATGGCTGTAACGAGGGATGTCATATCAGGGACAATGGGTGAAATGGGCACAATTAAACTATTCAGGGCTCTAAAGTCCTGAACTAAGCGATATGCTGGCCAGTGGTGTTGGGAGTGGGTCTGGTGTTGTTCTTGCCTACCGGGCATATTTTGAGAAAGGTGGGGTTGTTGGGGTGTGTGGGGTTTCCTGGGGTTTCCTGGGGTGTGGACACTCATTCCTCCAGTGGCCATATTGGCCACAGTTGAAACAAGTGTTCCTGTCTATTCCTCCTTGGTTACCCCTGCCCTTATAACCCTGATTTCCCTGTCTCCATCCCCTTGCTCCTCTTTGACCACCCCTTCCGCGGGCTTTATGTGCTCCATCCCATCCTCGCTCTCAGCCTGTGTAGCTGGACATAATATGTTGCAATCCCTGAGCATAATAAGCAACCTTACTTTCCTAAATCTTTTCTTAATTCAAAACAACCTGCATTTTCCTTTTCTATAACCTTGGTAAGAAAATCTGAGCTATCCAAATTGGCCCAGTCTGAAATCAATTGTTTCACAAGCAAATAATACTGTGGCAACATATTACCAAGGCATGACTGTATTTTAAAGATATCTATATCATCTCCAGACATCAAACCTGCCTCATCCTTCCAACACTTGTAAAATTTCTTTACAAAAATCATATTACCAATCTCTTCCTTTGCATCTTGCTTATATGCCAAAGCAGTGAATATAGACTACCTATTCTTCCATAATCCCAACATTTCAGCTTCCACCTTGTTCCAAATTTTAGCACATCTTACTGAAGTACTAAGCTCATAATCACCAATTCATTTCAAACCATATAACTCATACTCAGCATCCAATGTAATATTACACGTCATCTCACAAAGCAATATCTTTGTAGAAACACATAATGGGTACCCAGCAGATATGCCAATACAGAAATCACATTTATGGGCACACAACTACACACTCTGTCTCCCTCCTAGGAAACACGGATAGACACAATATAAAAGCAATCTTAAACTAACACCTCCAAATCTCCAACTATTCTTGGCCAAAACGCTAGTATTCAACAACTAATAAAACAGTTATTTGCTAGGTTATTTGGCTGTCATTCTTATCAGTATCACTAGACTGTGACAAACTGATTCACATATAATTTAAAACAATACAGCAACATATAAATTAAACCACTTTCAAGTTAAACTGCACACTTCACACATTATCACAATCACCATTTACACAGAACAAACAGTTAACAGCTGTATTCAGAACATATTATTGGAAGGTATACCAATTTTAGTTTAGATTTATTTTAGGGATTCTTATGTATACATTTTCTTAATTAACTTCATTACTTTAATCTACTATAGTATTGTATTTAAAGAAAGGATCCATTTATATAGCGCGCTCATAACTCAACTATTTGTCTAAAACTACCATTAACTAATCTGAGATGATGCTGCATCAACTTAAATCTTACAGAAATTGAACAAACATCTGGACCAGATTAAACAGACATGGTTTCACCTGAATCTTTCAGAACTCTCAGAGACTTAAAAAAATGTATACTATACCATGTTTTAAAGGCATGGCAAACCTTTAGACCGGTCAGTCTCCAAGAGCCCTTAGTAACACAGGTAAAAAACCTTTGTCCATGATGTCTGATTCAGGCTATATACCACAATTTAAAATAACACATAATGTGAGACATAGAAGACACAAGCAGTAGTTATTACACTGGATCATTTAAAAGGAACCTGTTGCAATAAAAAGGTTAGTTTACAGTGCAAAATAAAGCATGTGTTGGACCGCTGAAAATGTAAATGTTGCTCTGTTATTTTCAAACAAAAATTATATTTACAGTATGGATCCTTTGCAACAAACACACAGGGCAGGGAAGATGTGCTGATTGGTGTTTCTATACAATTAATCCCATATGGGGAATTAACTTTCAAATACTAATGATGTGACTTTTTGTCTCAGTTATAAAATATACTGAGCTCATCATGCAAACAATGCAACACATTTACACTATCCCACTCTCATAATAAGTGTAGTGGGCTTATAGTATTTTTAAAGCAACAATCATTCCAGGCACACAGTTCCCATGTGAAATAACTTACAATAAAACAGAGTAATAAACTTATACTTCTATGCAACAGAAAGAATAAAGTAAAAAGATTTAAGTAGGTCTATCAGGTACAACCTATGAGTCATTTCTTTTCTAATATACAGTACTGCTATCTTGCAGAAAGATAAGTCCTGCGCTCACTCCCATCACTACTGGGCAGCAGCAAGGACTACAGTACACATCAGCCCCAATATATGGTAAAAACCAAAGAAAAACAAGTTACCTGCGTTCTCTCCTTAAGCCCTATGTATTTTTAAAACCTCCATTTGTTTAAAAGTACTGCTATCTTATATATACACATATACATATACACACACATATATACATACATACATATATGGTCACTCAGGACATGAACTCACATTTCCCATACTGCTGACTCAGAGTGGGGACACTACTAACTTACCAAAGTGTGTCCCCAATATAGACAAACAATCACCCACAAAAAACACTTAAGACAAACAAAGGTGACCGGGAGAAAGAGAAGTTTGGGTTATACTTATAGATCTACAAACCGTGCTGCTCAGAACACCTATAGACTTAATAAACCGGAGACCTCTTATGGTCTCAAAAACCTGTATCTACCTGAGATACCCTGTATCTATCTTAGATACTAACCTGGGTTACCAAAACCCTATAATAAACCGGAGACCTCTTATGGTCTCAAAAACCTGTATCTATCTTAGATACTAACCTGGGTTACCAAAACCCTATATATATTTAGACCAAATGTCTAATAAACCGGAGACCTCTTATAGTCTCAATATAACTAGAGTCCTTACACCTTTCCTATCTACTGGATACAGACTTACTGAACCAAAGGGGGGTCATAGACAATCAGCGTCAAATAAGACACAAAAAGGCTACTCACCGCAAATGGTTTTGCTGATCCAACTTCTATCCCACTTCTAGACACCAAGCTGAAAGGGTTAATGTTGTAATGGACTCTAATCCCCTCGGTTCTCGATCCCTCGGTCACCATAATCAACGTTGATGGAGAATCATTTGTAAGCAATAACACACGGACAACAGCTTTACAAGACTCTCAAATGAGTGTATTCCAGAGCTGGCTTTTATACATAGTTTGCTTACATTAGCCATGGTATATGCCATTCATTACAGTACAGACTATAAGATTTATTACTTCCTTATATTACGTTATTCTGACAATGGAAAGATAAGCTTTTGCATACGTCTGGAAAAGAATATCCTTAAAATCGGAATGGGCAAGACATCCTGAAATTTAGCATTGTCTTACATCCTATAGAAGAAATACCTTAGTCTGTCACAGTCAGCATATTTATGTAAGTATTCAATATCCCTTCAGTCAGCAATAATCATGTTATAAACCTTATAAAAGCATAAAATACATATAAACAAGTTAACTATTTAATATTCTTACAACAGGTTTTCCCTTCCCTCCCTCCTCCCCTTCTGGTTGATTATGTATGTTGGTGCTGTGTTTTGCGGTGTTGTTGTTTCTCTTTTCTTTTTGTCACAGCTATGGCGGAGGTCCTGGCCAACGCAAGTAATGCAAGACAAAGCTTTGGGGAGTCGCAGCTGCCAGGGCTGATGGCAGAAGGCAGACTGTACGGACTCTTGGAATTATCCAGTATATCTGTCTGTTGGGTAGTCACCCCAACAGCCGACAGGTGGTGATAGAAAGCTGGCTGAGTTGATATGTTGGAATAATAAAGCTGTGGCCATTGCCCTTATCCAATACTCAGGTGTCTTGTCGTTATTGGGGGGCAACAGGAATGTAAGTGGTCTGCAGTCAAGCAATGGATTGGCTAAAATCATCAAGCTTAATGATCTTAATCAAGGTGGCAGGTCCAACTGCAGAGAGAGCAGTGCAGCATTGTATAAAAGGTGAGTTAACTAGTTTTTGATCCATGAGGAGGGAGGGGGTGGGGGGGGGGGAGAATCACCTTAACAGTGACTAGAACATTATAGCGTTAGTAATACATATTTGTATTCCTAATGCTATAGTGTTTCTTTAAGACCGAGAATATGTCGTGGGAATTATCGGTGGAACTAGCTTTTAACCACCAATATGACAGTGTGAATAGGAAACTTCAGCCAGCCAAATATTTGTAGGCATTCCATGGTGCTCTCCCAGCCATATCACAGAGGATCTTGGGATGTGTAGTCCACAATCATCTGCAACAGGAAATGGCCCATATCCTGTGGTGTACAGCATAGACTTTATGTACTCTCCGCATTTTCTTAAAGGGACACTATAGTTACCAGAACAACTAAAGCTTAATGTAGCTGTTCTGGTGTCTACAGTATGTCTCTACAGGCATTCTCAAGTAAAGGCAGTGTTTACCTTGGTGCCTAGTAACACCTCTGGTGGCAGTCACTCAGATGTTGGGATCGACCGATTATCGGTTTGGCCGATATTCTGTATTTTCAGCAATATCGGTATCTGCCAATAAAGGTACTTTATTGCCGATAATGCAGACCAGGGCCGCCATCAGGGTCATGGGGGGCCCAGCACACTCTTACTTACCTTCCCAGCAGCTCCCTTCAGCTCCCCTGTCTAGCTCTCGCGAGTACCACGGCTGTCAGAGCGTTGCATGGCAACGCTGCGTGTGGTATGTAGGCTGCGAGAGTTAGACAGGGGAGTTGAAGGGAAGGTAAGTAAGAGTGTGCTGGGCCCCTTCTGCAGAGTCTATGCCACCGGACCACCAGGGAATGCCATTTTCCACCTCCCTGGCCAGGTAAGAAGCAGGGAGGGTGGACTAAAACATAATTTTAAAAAAGTTAAAATTTGAAAAAACTATTTAAAATAAAAATGCCACCCCTCCCCCCATTTGAATCACTTAACATACCTACACAAACACTCACTGCACAAACACACACACTCTGCATTCATTATATACACAAACACACATTGCATTCACTATACACACACTACACAAATACACTCTTTATTCATTATATACACACTGCATTCACTATACTATACACACACTACACAAACTCACACACACTGCATTCATTATATGCACATTACACAAACACACACACACTGCATTCACTATGCACACACTACACAAACACACACTGCGTCCACTACACAAACACACACTGCATCCACAACACAAACACACACACACTGCATTCACTGATCAAATACTCTCACTGCACCCACTACACACATATATATTCTTGAAAACATAAAAAATTCTGACTGACATGTAAATTTTGTGCATTTACCTTAATAAAAAAGGATTTGCAAAAAAAGAAATAAATAATAAACATGTTCAGTTAACAGTAGATTTGTGTAGAAATAGTTTATTTTTTTTAAATGGTAAATGTACAGAGTATCGGTAAGTTATCGGCTGTCGGCCTGAAAGTTCACAGACGATCGGTATCGGTTCTAAAAAAATCTTTCTCCCTACTCAGATGGCTACTAGAGATTTTTCCTTGGTCAGTGCTGCATGTTCTAAGGTACAGCATCTCCATCCCCTGTATGGAGATGCTGAACATTCCCCGTAGAGATGCATTGATTCAATGCTGCACATGCGCATTAGCCTCCCATTGCCTTTCCTATGGGAAAGCATTGAATTGGCTGAGATCATCAATTCTGATGATCTCAGCCAAGGGTCCAAAGCAGGGGTGCAGCCAGCAGCGGCGGACACACACAGTGCTGGAATAAAGGTAAGTTTTAAACCTATTTAAGGCGGGGGCTTAAATAGTGTTACACATTTGTATTCCTGACCCTATAGCGCTCCTTTAAGGGATAAAATGTTATGTAATTGCTATGTGATCAAAGAAAAGCCACATAACACAGCAAAGGTGGAACAAAATATTATGTGATCATATATGCAGTAAAAAAAGCAAATCCTGGATAAATTATATTTTAAAAATAGTAAAACAAATATGAAATTGGTTCTGAGCATGCTGTTCGAGAGGTGTTTGCTGCCTAGCCTGTCTGAGTTTAAACTATCACTGTTACTGTTGTATTTGAATATGACTGAATAAAGAGTTTTAAATGGATTTTTATCTGGTATCAGGCTGTATGTGTTTCCATACTGCCATTAAAGGCATGATGCAGACTTCCTTTCCTTCTGCTGTGATATTGATCATCTGTTTGCGGGTCATAAAGATAAATGCTATGAACTGGAAATTGTGGGAACTGTCAAGGGAATTGCATATTTGACTCATTTTAAAAATGTCAACTTTTAAAGAGCAGCTGGCATTATAGCAAGTATGACAGTTCTGCAAAGGGCCATTTATAATAAAGAGGATTATTATAGAGCAGGATACCAGAGGTGGGACCAAATTGTTGTTTTGTAAGTCAAAAGTAAGTCTCGTCATTTTTTATTCAAGTCCCGAGTCAAGACAGGCAAGTTCAAGCAGAGGCGTAACTAGAAGCCACGGGGCTCCGGTACGAAAATTGCCTTGGGGCCCACCCCATACGTCCCCACCCCACACATATGCAGTCAAACAGATACACATGCATACACACACATAGACACACACAGGCACACATATATGTAGACACACACATAGGAAGAACTGCTGTTAGAGCAAATTGGGAAAGCTGCAAATTGGGGTAACACGTTAATTATTGGAGATTTTAATTACCCGGACATAAATTGGGATAGAGGGACTAGTACTTCAGCAAGGGGAATCAGGTTTTTGAATGTGTTAAATGATACCTTTATGTCAC